ATGGCTTGCGTAAGATCCCGGCCCTCCCTGTGAACCCTGGCCGCCCCCGCCCCAGCTGCAGCTCAAACGGCCCCGTCCCCTCTCTGCACACGACAGCCCCTCCGCCCCCCACCCCTACAAAGGGGGGGGGGGGGGGGTCGGGAACGCTAGACGTATTTTTACTTAGATCTTGTAAAGTGTAGGGTTAAAGAAAGCCAGGATATAATAAGTAGTGTTTGAGCCGGTTTTGGGTTTGGGACGGCTAAGGGCCGCGAAGGGGTTCTGAAGTTTCTTGATAAGGCTTCGGAAATTATTCCTTATACAAGTAGCTTGCGGGTGGAAGCAAGCTTGTAGAGCGAAAGAGCCACATGTACCCCTTGACCACATCAGTTGAGGAACAAGACTTAAACTATGCATGTCTTCTCTACATGAAGTGCAGAGTCTGTTCCTAAATATCGGAGCAAGCCCTCAACCCTACAACCTCGAAGCCCTAAGCCCTACACACTGATCCCTTGGATGCTTTTGGAGATGATGTTGATAAGGGGTTTCAGGTTTAGTTTGGGGTTTCGGGTTTAGGGCTTCAGTTTCTGGGATTAGTCTTGAAAGCTTTCTGCGGCTAATTCCAGGGCCTCAGGTCTGGGGATCTAGGGTCTTTGTGGCCTGCAGGGTCTTCAGGGACCAGCGATTCAGTGTACAGGAGCCTGGGGGGTTTTCAGGGCATAGGAGTTTGAGGTTTAGGGTGGAATGAAGAAGCCACGTCATGGGCCATTGGCCAGGATCCTTATCTGGAACAACTATCAGACTAGAGCTGTTTGCGGAGTGGCTTTGCTGAGTGTGGACAACGTCCGGGCTATGACTTTGCGAACTCGAAACTGCTGCTCAATCATGCCACTGGCGGGATGGCTCAAGTTTCCAAGTCTAAGGCAATCCCTGCAGCATCAGCCCTGATTTAAAGCAGGACCCTTTGCTCAACGATGCTGGAGAACTGTACCTCATATTTTCAATGGTTGCTACCTGGCCGTTACTAGCTATATCTCCTTGACTGACCCTGGCCTCCATGGGTTTGTTGTCCCCTGTGATCGTCGTCTTCACCTCGTAACAATCCTTTCACATCACAGCAAGGGCTTTGGATTCTGCCCACTGGGGAGATGTCAGCTGGTGCCGAGCACTCTTGGCATACGTTGGTGCAAGTGCTTAGTCCATGCACTGGTGGTCAGCAAAAGCGGCAGTAGTGGTGGTAGTGGTGGTCGTAGTAGAAGTAGTAGTAGAAGTAGAAGTAGAAGTAGAAGTAGAAGTAGTAGTAGACGTTGAAGTTGAGACGCTTGAGGCAGGATGTGGAGCCAGGAAGCAAGCATGAGGCGATTAGCGTCGACGGTAAGAGAG